AACAATAAAAAATACTTTAATTAAAAATAGTCTAGAGCAAATTTTTGGTGACAACCCCCCGGGGTCGTATTTTTGTTAATATATATATACAATATGGTTTAAAAAAAAAACTCGTCTGGAAAAAGAATAAGGGGCCCACCACATAGATCGGGATCTTCTACTATGCGTCTTAAAAAAACTTTGCACTGCCATTGTTCTGGGGTTGGCTTTTTATCCCGGAAGCAAATATTGTCACCTGATAAATACATTTAGTAATTTTACTACAGTACCTAATAGAATTTTGTATTGTTACGTGAAGTTTAGAATGTCTTTACATTAAAGTAGTGCATCTGAATCGTGTTTCAGAATATATGTGAAGACAGTTATAAGCTATAAACTACAGGTTGCTAGTTAATGGTAAATTACTTTGATTGGGAAAGAGACAGTAAGAATTGATAATTTTAGAACCTTTTTAAAAACGAAAAATGGAAAAGTGGAGTGAAGTAGGAGAAATACGAAAAGTGAAGTAAGATAATAGTGCAAGTGAAATCAGGCTTAGAATATGCCCAGGGACTTGTGCAAGCCGATACTGTGCATGTACCGCGATGCGTGAACTACCAAAAGTGACAGTCGTTGAGAAAAAGCATTTAAATGATCAGCGTAAGTGAGACACCTTTTCCAATTCACGAAATCTGGCTCATAATATAGTAATTCTAATAATAAAAAAAACAATTCGTCTGTATAAAACACATTCAGATTTTTTAAGTTTTTTATGGTGTTTTATATTCGTATATATGTATGTAACTTTTATTAAAAACAGAAAATTTTAAACCAAAGTACTACGTCGTAGAAAACGTGTTCGTTATCATAACATATTTCCTGTAATTAAATTCTAAAAAAAAGTTACCTACCCATAAGTTAAGGTACGCATACTAATTTTATTTTTTGCATAATTGTAAATGAAGAAGGAAAAAGACGTGTTATGGTTTTAAATAAATTGCCTTGCAATTTTTAAGAGTCCATAATATTAAATTAAAATTATTATATTTATACATGCTGTTTAAGTTATATTACTTTTTACTTCAAAGAATTTCTAACAACGTTGTACAGTAAGGTGTTTGTATCTATATCATTCATGAAAAAGTACTAGATACACAATCAGCAACAAAAAAATGTCCTTACCGAATGAGCGCTCATTTGAACATTTGAGCGCGCTTTTAATTTAAATTCTTTTTTTGTGAAAAGAACTTTTAGCAGTGACAGTTTTAAGAGATTTTTTGCATGGGATTGTGTATCTAATACTTTGTGTACTAGTGATCTTCATATAGTACTCGTAAATATTTATTTCGTTTTTATCTAAAAAAAAAAATTGAATGGTTTATTTCTATGACATTGGTAATGTAAAAAATGTTTAAATAATTACTTGTAAACCATTTATATCGAACTCAATACCAGAAAAGTGTATCTATATTAGAAAAAATGAGCCTAACTGGCTTGTTATTGCCAATATAACAAACCTTTTCCAAACACTAGCAATAATTTTTTATTGGATTTATTTTTCTTTTATTGATAGGTATACTTACACACTTTTGTAAGTTATTTAGCAAATATTATTTATTGCTAAAATAAATATTGTTCTCTCTAACAGAGTAATCTATAATAAAAAAGTGAAATGGTTTTCCTTATTGAAAATTATGTCTAACTAGCTATGTCACATGTGTACAAACTTCCCTATTTGAATCGGATATTATTAAATTTTTCATTGGTTTTAATTTTTTTTCGTGGGACCCTATTTGTTTTCTAAAATACTTACTCTTTATTACATCAGCTATCTGCCAGTGAAAGTACCGTCAAAATCGATCCAGCCATTTCAGAGATTAGCCGGAACAAACAGACAGACAGATAGACAAAAATTGTAAAAAATTTTGTTTTGGTATATGTACAGTGTATACATTCATATACATTTAGTAAAAAGCTGTTATTTTGACATTACAAAGAGACACTTCAATTTTATTTATCTATATATAGAGTAGTCTTAGAACTACTAAGCCAATTCTGTTTTTTTTTATTAAGGATCTACTGGTTACGAACTAATACGCTATACTTTAAGTAACTAAGGCTATTTTTCTTAATTTATCAGGTGAATGAACAGCGCTTGAACTATCTACATATTAAGGAAAGAGACAGATTCATCGATATCAACTTATCACCTTTGGGTGGGCTCAGATAGGTTACTTAGAAGATGGAGTTGAACTAAAAACAGGGTTTTGAAAAATCAACCTCTATAAAGAATATGTGGGTCGTTAAACTAAGTATGAAAAAATATTGTCTTAAATATCGAATAAGTTCGAGCCCCCCTGAGGGTATAATATAATTTTTACTGTTGCTGATAATACACATTTTTTTTTAATTTTTATATTTAGGTACTAGATACTGGAACTTTTAAAACAAATATATTTTACTACGCCAGAGCAAATAATACAATTTTAACTAACGTGAATGTCACGAAAGAAAGCTAACTATATACACATATACTACATGATTAAATATGGATTAGTACAAAACACCCGTTTTGTAATTTTACTTGGCGTCACGAAATATTCTTCAACACTTTGTTAAATTATAGATAACAATCCAACAGCAAAACACCCATTACTTGTAAATATTATTACTAGCTTAAAACACTAAATTCACGTATAAATATATTATAATCATAAATTAAATATAGTAGTGTAAATGAGCATTTTGTGATATGGTCTTCTGTGCACGTACAACGTTGAGAGAATGTTTAGGTCACTCGCTCTACTGAATCTTAGCAATTAGTACTCCCAAGTTTGATTAATGAAAATACCTAAATGTTTCAAATTTTAGACGTTGTAAACTAAATTTCTCCTTGCATACTAGAAATTTTAAGGTATGTTTGTTTGATACATGTACTTGAATGTTAGCTGTAAACATTAAATATCTCGTCTACGATATGTTTATATTTAGAAACTTTGACTGCCTTGGTGATGTAGTAGCTAGCATGTACGGCTGCACACCCGGAGGTTCTGGGTTCGAGTCCCGGGTCGGGCCAAGTTTAGTTATTGAGTCTTTCTGTACTAAGTATGAAAATTTATTAAGCTTCAGTAACAGCCCGGAGTTGGGAAGTTTTCGGTGTTTCACCCCCGTGCCTTGAAGAGCACGTAAAGCCGTCGGTCTTGCGCCTTAACTCTCACTGGTCGTGTCGTGTGGTCGTCCCACCAGAGTATGAGAGTGAAAGGAATAGAGAGTGCACTTGTGTCTGCGCGTACACTTGTGCACTATAATATCTCCTGCGCAGTTGGCCAGTCTCAATGAGATTGAAATCGGAATCGGTCAGGAGAACATCATCGTCATCATATTTAGAAAGGAAGTAAGTATGGATATTTAATTTTTTTATGTCACCTATCTAAGAACACTTGGACTAATCCGACGAATCTAACAATGAATATGTATATATATATATATATATATATATATATATATATATATATATATATATATATATATATATATATATATATATATTATATATAAAATAAAAAAATATTACAAATAAACATACAAAGATGGGCGCGAAGTTCACATAACCCTTGCCTTGCATTCGGGTAAAAAACATGCAGGCAGTAGTACTACAATAACATACTTCGTATTTATATTAGTTTTTTTTGTGTAAAAATGAAAATTCGTTCAATGCTCTCATAAAAATGTCTATAAAGTTGATTTACATCAAGTTTTTATTCGAATTCAGTTTAAGCGTGTATATTATTATGACAAATGTTGTAATAACTTTCGAATATCAATCGATATTTTATATTAAACTTAAAGGTGTTTCATTATATAATTGCTTCATACTTTATCAGAAAATAAACACAAAGAGAACATAGTAGACTTTGTTACATTTTCTGCCACTTTTAGAACAATGCATTCAGGTGGTTATTTCTAACGTCTTTACCTTAAGCGACAAGTCTGTAACAAAGGTGTGTATGATGAATAGAATAATATACAAGATGTGTATAAATGGAAGCCCTAGCTATAGCCTTCAGTATGATACATAAATAACTTAAAAGGCAGAAAGAACACGTTCTATTTAATTTCTATAAGGCCTAAATGGAGTGTCAATATTATTATGAAAGAAAGCTAAAATTATTTGGAATATCGTGTGGCAAAGTATTTTTTTTTTCTTATAATATAAATATTTACCTTGGTGTCAGTAATACAAATAGAAATAATAATATCAACACGTAACTGTGATTATATATGTAGTACAGTGTAGATTGTTCAGTTACTAATATAAATATAGTTCTATATATATATCAATCTATATGGTGGACCCCTCATTCCTCCCTGAGTCGTGTTTGTTAGTATATTTCATTGTTTAAAAAATATATTTCGCCTGGAAGAGTGAGGGGTCCACCACATAGTTCGGGATCTCCTACTAAAAAATGATAGTTTGTGAAGTAATTGCGATGTTTGTAACTCGATAATGAATAAATCATTGAACGGATGACATTTAGATTTTATGTATATGTAGATAAGAATGGAATATATATTATCATATGCTTTATGACGTTATATAATCTAATGTCTAATGTCGGGGATAAGAGAAGAAGACGACCTAAGATAAAATGGATGTACTGTGCGGAAGAGATTATGGCTAGAAAGGGAGGAAGCAGGGAAACGACGAATGATAGAGTAGAATGGAAGAATAAAACATATTAATAAAATAAAAACATATAATATTAATAAAATTGGAATAAAGGTAGGAAGGTATGTCGTTGCATAAAATGGCCTCCATTAAAAAAATCACATAGATACTAATAAAGCTAGGGAAGGTTAAGCATGAAATATTTGCTCTATCATCATTATCGTCATTTGCTCAATCAGGAAACGAACATTACACCAATATACTATCGTAATTTTGGCAATCATTCATAGTATTTAAAAAGTTTATACATATAATAATATATTGAAAGAAGATTTATATAAAAAAAACTTACAGCTCGATGAGTGACAAATGATGTGCGTCCTTGGAGTCTTGCACTGATCTTAGCAGGGGTATCTTCATCTTCCCTTTTAGGGTCGAACCAGCCAAACGCTGCACCCACTACCAGAACAGCCCCAAGTATCATCAACGCCAGGAAACCCCCAATTGCAGCTTTAGTCGCTTGAGATATAACCATCGCCATTTTGTTAGCACTTATCACCTTCTTAACATTATTGACTCAATCATTCACTTCCTATATCATTTGAATCGCGAAGTTCGCTTCAGATTTAAGTCGCACATTATCTTACTTTTGTTTTCATACCGTTAGGAAGTCCTTCACAGTTCGTCAGTTCACATAAAAAAAATATTAGGTCGTGTATTAACAACGACGGCCTGGCAGCTTTTTGTTATATTTACATCAGCTAACAAAAAAGAGGTGTTTTATTAAGCCCTAGTTGCATTTCAATAAATATTAATATTCTTCGACTTAAAATACTAATTTTCACAATTAAAGAAATTAGGGGGAATAATGAAAAACATTTGTCTGTTTCAGGTCGTTTTGATGATTAAGGAGTCATGCAGTAAAATCAAGGAATTTAGTACCAAAAATATTCTGGTTTCAGTTCAAGAACCTTTTTGAAGAAAGTAAAGTAAATCTATGTAATTATAAATTAAGTTATGAAAAAATAACTATAAATAAAGTGAACCGAGCCCTCCTCACTTTTGAACTAGTATTTTGTTACCGTGCTAGAAAAGTTTGGTATTTTATTATCAGGTACATATGGTTGATTAAACTAACATTTATGATGTTACCTTGTTAGTCAGATGAACTATAACATTAATAGAGATGACTTAGTCTCATTACTAAAGTAAGAAATATATAATATAATTACAATCGTTAAATATTTTTACAGAAATCATTATTTTATTCTTCTTCTGCTATGTTTTTCTATTTGAGACGGAACCATCAGTGCGCGAGTTTGACTCTCACATAACTGGATTTTTATTGTACTCGTAAAAATCTGTGTGATAAAACGAAATGTATAATAAAATATTTTTAAAATCAATATAATTCCTAATAATTGAACAAACCACTATTGTATCAATATTTCAAACTAAAATTAGTATAGTTACCAGCGACTCACCCTCGCTTTGCTCAGGTTCGTCCCTAGCTTGCTTCCCAATACAAACTTTTAACCCCATTTGCACCCTCTTGAGGGACGATTTCCAATATAAAAAGTATCCTATATCCTTCCCAGGGTCTTAAACTATCTTCTTAGCAAATTTCATCTAAATCGGTTCAGTAGATCCAGAGATCACCCCCTACAACGTAACAAACTCACAAACTCACACTTCACAAACTCACAATCTTTATAATATTATTATTGATTATAGACAAAATAAGTACAATTATTCATAATAAATGTTTTATTTCTATAACAAGTATTAATCTGTATTTTGTGGTCATGAGAAATTGTAAAACTTTGTTCTATCGATACTAAATCGAATTGTAAGTTTTTATTTATTTTAGATTTTTTTCTAATATAAAATTTAAAAATGTAAATCTTTGTAATTTATAGTATTAGCAAATTTTGACATAACATTATAATAAATTAAAATTATTTATCAATCTTGTCTTTTATACGTAGTATCACTTCAACAGATCAAACTTACCCATTTGCTTTTATTATTTGTATAATTTTATTTTAACTTTTTATTATAAATGTTAATGTTGTGCAGTTTCATGGTCGCGAGTAGACTGCTATTGTATTTGTTTAGTAGTTTGTATTATGTCGACTACCGTCAGCAGTAGCGAAGTTATCTTACGTACTGCCCTACTTTTTATTGGAAGCTGACTTGAGTTGTATGACTCTATTTTATACCATTTAATTTCTATATTATATATATATACTAGCATTGCCCGCAGCTCCGCCCGCGTTCAGATGACCAAAAACCAAATTCTTAGGGTTCACATATTAGTATACTCTTAAAATGCAGTTTTTGTATTTTTTCTCAGAAATGAGATATTTTCCCGCGGTAAAAAGTATCCTATATATTAACCCGGATAACCAGCTATCATCATACCAAATTTCATCAAAATCTGTCCAGTGGTTTTCTCGTGATGCGGTAACAGGCAGACAGACAAAATTCTAAAAACTATAGATTCGGCCTCTGTATCGATAATAATGTTCATTTCAATAAGATTTTCCAAAAAATATTTAATGTATAGATTCGGCTTAGTTACAATTTTATTATATATATAGATAATTAATTTTGTTTAACATTATTAAAGTATTTTATGACAGAGGTGACAAGAAATGGTCCAGAAGTGCAAATACTCTTCAAACGCTATGTCTATATGAAAAGATAATATCACAAAATAAATATAAATATGCAAGATAGATGTTTTTATGCAGTATACGAATGAGTACTGCAAAGCCTACTTTTCGCTTGCAACTCTCAAGTGTTAAGTGGTATGATATGAGTGCGCGTCGTCGAGTGGGCGTTTTCTTCTCTCTAGTTAACCATTCAGTTCTAATGATACACATAATAATTGTTATTTTTAATATATTATGAAATTATTTTATATCATCGTACAGTTTTTTTTTTGTAATGTATAATATAAAACATGTACAGAGGGTGCATATAATCACTTTCTTCAATTTTACCAATACTAATGCTGTTTGATCTTTATTGAAGTCACACACTATTGCCATGATAGTTTTTTCTCAATTTAAAGAATTAGAAGGGACATCAACAAAGTATGTAGTGATATATAATCATTGTATGTACTAAATTTAAATAAAATTCCCTACTTTGCTTTGTGTTAGTTCAAGGTAATCTAAGAATTTACAGTACAGATTTTCATACGGTTTTGACCAATGACGGTAATGGCCTAAGAGCCTGTGAACGCCAGACCTTCAGGCTATCATGGCTTTGGCAGGTACACGATACTAAAGGTGTGTAAAATACCGGACATAAATTCGTCAAATAATAAAGTTTGATTTTTTGCTATTACCTTCAGAATATTATTAAAAATCACGTCATTCAATGCCAGACACTTAACATCGTGGCGAACCCTTGCCAGACACCCTTTTCATGAAATCATAATTCTACTTACGTTATAGTATAAAAGCTGATTTTTATATATAATACTTGGGTAATAATTAGATGATGTCTCCTCATTAGCCAGACATGTTTGATAGTTCCAACCCCTTACCAGACAAGCATGTAAATGTTAAGAAGAGATTCGTGATTCGAATGACTGAACACTGTTTAGAATGTATGTTCACGGGCTCTTGCTCTATAATGATATTTTTATACTAAGTAGAAAAAATGCTCCCTTGTAAGAACTTCCTTACTATTATAAATGCGAAGGACATTTAAATGCTAAAATTAAGACAGGACAAACGAATAGATACTGTTTATTTCATGACTAGAAAAAAAAACAAATATATCTCACGGGAATCGTACATTTTTCCGGGATTAAAAGTAACCTATGTGCTATTCCAGACTATAATCTATCTCAAATTTCATCAACATTCAGGTGTTCTAAAGTGATTGAGTAACAAACATCCAAACATCCATCTAAATTTTCACATTTATAATATTAGTAAAATATAGTTCCGTTTTGAACATTTACAAATAATTTAGCAAACTATAAAAATGTTATCATATTTTACAGCTACTCGCTGATAGTTTAAATATTTCTTAATAGTTCTTTCGAAACAATACTTTATGAAACAAGGGGTCAACTTTGTGAGCTGTTCAATGAAAATACATTAAAGTTGCTTATCGCAAACAGAATTTATAACTAAAGTTTTTATTTAAAGATTGACTAAAGTTTCAAATCCAGGCTTAAATATCGACTTTACTATAAAATAGACCAAATTTTTGATAAAAAATCGGGCAAGTTCCATTTCACCTACGTAATTTGTTATAGAATAAAAGTAAAATAAAATATTTACGCGTTATACGCAACAGTCAAATTAGTTTGTAATTCATAGTGTTTTTTAAAGATAATATGTAAAACAAAGTTAATTTTGAGGCCGCAAATCAGTAACCGAATACGTGATATGTCCCAAAAACTATACATACATATATCATGCATATCTTTTCCGAATTAGTGTAAGGTATTATATTGCAAAGTCATATATGTACTAATACGTAGTTTTTTTATATTTTAAAAATACCTTTTCTAAGTTACTCTACACAAGCGTGTGGACTTATCTGTTAGTTATTGGGTGGTGGAGGTGTCTTTGGATGTACACAAAAATGTACACTCAACATTTTATTGAACTTTTGGCCATGAAAGCTTAAAAATATAAATTCGATTATCTTTTAATATGTTATCGTTATCATAAATTACACTTATTCAAATGCTAGATTGCAAAATATAGATTAACTAGAGATTCACCCTCGCTCCGCTCGGGTTCGTCCCTAGTTACTTTTTAACGTTTAGTATAGATTTCTCAGAGATCAGATATAATCCCGCAGTAAAAATTATTCTATATGTTGACCCGGATAACAGACAAAAAATCTAAAAAAAATTGATTCGGCTCCTGTGTCAATAATAATGACTATTTCAATAAAATTTTCCAAAAAATATTTAACGTACAGATTTGACTCAGTTAGGATTTTATTATACCTACATACTTTGTACTTATAGATGTCATGAAAAATTATCTTTAAGCCCTTTGCATACAAAATTACGGAAGCTCTCAAAAGTTTTTTTTTCCGACTACATTTAGAAATATCATCTCACTGACAGCTTATTTACGTAAAAAAAACATAAATTATATAACATACAGCCATCCACGATACTTCCTCTTTACATTAGTGAAAACCATATGAACATTCGTAAAGTATTTTCTAAGATTGGCCTCAACAAACACAAACTCAGTGTGTTGATAGACTTTAAATTATATATATATATTGTAAAGAAAGATACATAAAACTAGCGACCCTCTATTCAATCAGGCCTAACAACAATTCACACGTCCTTCAATAAAGTGTCGCAATATGTTACTATCCCACGAAAACCTTCATGTAAAGGAATAAAAAGTAAAATGCCACTCTCTTCCCTACAAGCTTATTAATAGCTTGTAGGACAGATAAAAATAGTTATTCTAAATGTACCATAGGAGATTCACACGTTCATTTTTTTTATGAAATCGCAAATTCTAATTTTTAGTTTCGATG